GGTGTAAGTCTGTACCAATCCATATTGCAGAAAATAAGCTCTGTGGAAAAAACATGTTCAAGATATTTACATATTTTGTTTAACACGACAGTCTCGACATGTTAACACTACTTTTATAATACTTGAAGGAGAAATAATAAAGGTAAATATCTACCGTAATGCTATGAACTACAGCTAAGCTAAGCTAAGCTAACTTAAAGGCTGACTCGTGTTCTGCATGATGATGTCAAGTAGTCTCATTTAATCACTTAACTAGTTAGCAACTGCCGTTATTGAGACGCCAAAAACCTTCAGACCAGTTGGATACAGACGTGTTTTGTGTGGTAGAACAAAAAATGAGACATGTATAAATTACAGACATTATTTTCGGAATCCAACAAAAAATATTTTGAGTCGAGGGAACCCGGAAGTGCTTAAATGCTAACTAATTTGTAGGTTTAGGACTCATTCCTGATCAACTCTATAGCTGTTGAAATACTAAATGCTTAGCTAAAGTTGTGAAGGACCAATCTTGAGATAGAATTGCCACCCTTAGAGCCATGTATGCAAGAATAAATAACAAGGAAAAGTCCAGAACCCAGATTGAAAATAGACTCTAAGGTGTTGATCATGAACACTCTCACCCACGGGCCTGTGCGATGATCCCCATTTAGAACACTTTGACATGATTCATAACTGAATCATCTGAGGTTTATTCATTTATGCTAAACCCGCCCCTTTGTGAAATAGGTGAAAACAGTGTCAACGTGAGAACACCTGATCCACACTGTGCAACCATCAAGATCAAGGAAAAAGTAAAGCCCTAAATGAATGTGCCGTCCTCATGCAGCTGATAAACAAAGAAAGGAAAGGAAATAAAGCACGGTATTCTGTGCCGTTTCAAATCCAATCCTGCTTTGAAGGCCAGCTTGAAAAACATAGCCTTTAAATCAAGCAGCTATTCACCTATTGAGATAAAAACCAATGCCATGGTTTCACAACAGTGAAAATATCCAGCATATTTCTATCGCAGGAATCCTTTTCAACTTATCTTTGGAAGAGAGCGATAAATCTGGTTGATTTGTTTTATGGTCTGTTCTTTTGTCGGCCGATTGGCAGAGCTGCCTTTTAAAAGGAACTTGTTAGTGAAAGAATATTGTGTTTTGTAAAGAGTGTTATATTCAGTGTTGGTAAATGGGATTGCTTTTAAAAGCTGTAATTCTAAGATTCTGTCAAAGAGGATGGTCAGACCCAAAGAAAAAACAGAGTGTACATGACCCAACTACAAAGGCATTAATCTGACTCATAGACTGTCCTCACAACATTAATAAATAGTTTGCTAAAATGCTTAAACAAAGACCTTTTGTAAATGTACGCAACTTCTGTAACCTGCTCCTAATATCTGCTTGAGAATAGTATTCGCGATGGCCTGATTAAAATGTTCAAAATCCCCAATACTACAAAAAAATGTTGCTGCCGATACCAATCCAATATATATATTTTTTTCTCTATTGAAAATCTAAGCTGACATTTGTATGAATGCACTTTTTTTAACTCATGGTGCTCAAAATATGAAATATATATTATTTAAATACCAATCCAACAACCTGAATCTTTATGCGATACGGCTGCTTTTTTAAATATATATATATATATTTCCGCATAGACACTTTTAGCAGTATTTTTGCTTAGTCAGCACCTTTGAAATATTCCAAATGACACTGAAGTGCAATTTTGTTGTTTAATTCAGAGATTTTCAAAGAATATCCATACATATACTTAGTTTTGGATCAGTAAATCAGCAACTAGCATTAATTAAGTTATATTGTGGGTAATGTAGGTACCAATTTAGGAGGAATAAACAAGACTACATTTCTTGTTCTCCTGCATTTATTTGACACTTTTTTGATAACTTTCCAACAATAAAAAGGAGTGCAATGCTAGGCAGTGAGTACTCTTTCAACTATCTACTTTAAAAAAAGAAAAAGCAGCACTGACAGATCAAAAACCGCCATATGAATCAATTGGAGTGGCTTTGGTAGGCAGTGAAAGGTAATGTAATGTGCTATTATGTTTGGAGGACTTTCTACTCACATCCCAGGAGACTCTTTCTTACTGGCTATTATCTGTGCTGAGAGATGACAGTTAGAAACATCTATAATGAAGCTTTATTATACAGCATATAAATAGTCAGAAACATTTTTTTTAAAGATATACAGTACTTAATAATCAGCTCCTTTTCTTGAAATTGCAAATCTGAGGCAACACTTTGCAAATGCATCTTTTTTGTGTAAAAGGTTTTAGTAACATTATGATAACTGTGTTGCATTGAGTGTCTACTGTGCAATGTTGTTCTTTGAAACCAGATCTGCATGGAGTAATGCACGGGTATGATTCCCCAGATTCAGCAGGATTATTCACAACGTTGAAGTGTTACTAACAGCCACAGTTCCAGCACAAACGTATACACACACCCTTTCTTCTGACACGTTGCGGGAGTGTTATTCCAGAACTGTCCTCAAGGTCAGCTGGAACAAACAAACTCTAATTCAATGAAAAGTACACTTAACGGTTGTGTGTTATGAATCAGCCATGATGACGGTTGAAGCTCGTTGAACCTGTGATGCGTTCAATGAAACAAAAAGTATAAGGTCTAATATATTGGCCAGTGAGAGTCCAACTAAATAAAACAAATGGGCCATTTCCTCGACAGAATATAGTCCCTGGCATACTCACTTAACAGTGCATCGTGTTTCAGGAAAAGAGCAACAAGAGCTCTCATCAGTGGACAATAAAATACAATAGCTCTAAGCATGCAGGAGCTCGCTGGGATCCAATTTAAAGGTGTGGAGGGGGACATGATTAATCACGGCAAAAATGCAGAAAAACAAGCCCATACCCAGAAGACACTGTACAAGAACAGCGGCTATGTGATTGATGATTAGCACGTAGGCTAACCCCATGATTGACTTTCTTAAATTAGCTCTTTTGGAAATACGGACACATTTGGAGTAACCAGTAAACCAGTAAGATCAATGTGACCTACTGACCCCTCCCATTGGCTTCAGCAGAGACAGTGGCTGACAGACTTTGGCATGGAGCTCATTATCATCAGGCTTGTCTGAGAAATAATGACTTGGATCAGAGATCTGAATGACAACAGCATGAGTCAGTATTCAGCATCGGCCTTCGTGTTTCATGGCTACAAGTTATCAGCCTTCCCTGTTTTGCTCAGCTGTGAAAGACAAGAGGATAAACCCGTCTGCTTTTCAGCACCACGTCGCTGTCCACCCATAATCCACTCCAGGGTTTCTTTAAGGACAATAACAAGCCGCTCTAAAGCCTAACTTCATACAACAATTGTGATAAAGCATGATTTGACACTCCTTATTTCTAATAAAAGGAGAAAGGAGAGAATTATCCTCTATTTTCTTCCCCCAGTTGAATTATCTATCCTTTGTCTCAAGTGTTTGTAGCTCCAACAGAGAAATATTGCCCTCACATTATTATTATTTTTAATCACACAAGTGATGGTGAGGTGGAATGGCAGTGGTCCACCGCTGTGTTGCAGTCTGTAATATCTCAACTGGGTAAATAAGCTGGAAATTCTGCACAGAAAGTAATTCTCCCTTACAGGATAAATTAGAAACAGCTCATGTGAGCCCTTAGTTTTCCCAGTCGTGCCACCAGCAGGTTGACATTATGTTTTCCTGCAATTTTTATACATTTGTAACGGTTTTTCGTGGTCCCCAAAGAATTAGCCTACGGACTAGTGCCTCTAGTCTGGCCAACCCTAGCAACTATTCAACTCAATTTATTCTTAATTATGTTACGGAGGAAAATAAATTTCTCCCGGATAACACATAAACCAAAACAAAGCAAAAACACATCATACTTTATGTTAAAGCAACAAAACCTGGTTGGTTAAGTTAAGATCTTGGTTTGGATTTAAATAGGCCAACTCTTATTATGCAAGTTTTCTTACAAAATTAATTAGCAAGCCTTGTCTTCCACATTGTTCTACTCCTGCATTTATCTAGCCTGATCAAGGTTTGTATTTTCACGGCAGAAATACTCCACTGAAGGGTTCAACAGCTCGCAATCACCTTAGATTAGTCGGGAAAAGTATTTTGCAGTAGTCTAGAAGAGTGCTTTTGTATTTCTATTACCAAATCGTCAGGCTCACTATTAATATAACATTACATTCAAATGATAGTCAGTGGGAGTGATACACACTGCCATTTCAGCTGTGATGTCTTCATTAAACTCTATCCGGAGTGTTCTTACCTCTCCCGTATGCAATCATATGAAAACCTCACCGTTCAGATATTCAGTACTTCTACATTTGATTGTAACCTTTTCTGATATGGAGAAAGGATGAGCAATCTATATTTAGTCTGTTTGTATTTCCAAGACAACATTTTCCAACAGCCCTATGAGCACCTCCTTTCCTTCAAATATGAACCTATTGTTTTACAGGAGGCATTAGATAACCACCAAGTTTCTTTGAAAAAACAATATATGTATTGTGCAGTTTATTCCAGTGGGAACAGAAACTGATGTTTTTGGTTGCCGGGTCAGCTTTGCAACCTTTTGAAGATGGCTATTTTGAGATGTTCTATTATAAGACTGTTTCTTTATTTCTCAGTTGGAACATGCAGTTATTAAACAAGGCCAAAGGAAGACTGGTCGACAGATGTAGTAGGCTACTTTTGCTGACCGCTTCCCCCCAGCACTGAGCTGAAGTTGCAGGCTGCCTGCGGCCATGGCATGGCTCTGTGTGATGCTGATGTTACAAAAGCGCGTCTCCTTTAAGGAGATGTATGCATCAGCTGCAAATGAATTGTGCGTACGATAAATAAACACAGCAGATGAGGATTTGTATCAACATTTCTAACATATCTTTGTTCAAAACAATCCTGCGATGAGTATAACGTGGTTGTTAGACATGCAGTTGCCCTGTATCTACAACACATCACAGGAAAAGACATTGCGCGCATTGTATAAGGAGGATAACTCACGCGTTCGCAATTATCGATCCATAAATGCCATCGCTTAGGAATGTAGGAAGTGCGCCCCAAAATAAGCTCTGATTCCCGGGGTCCAAAGCTCGGTAATAGCCGCTGCTCCGTTGCTCCCGCTGGGCTACGGTGGAAGGGATAAGCACGCCTCCTGTAGCTGCTACTGAGCAGGATTGAGCATCACACCGCACACGGTGGAGCCCCACTACTGTGGGATGGTGATGTCGCGGGAATAGGAGCGTCAGTCTCTCCTTTTAAACGAGAACATACATGGTTCCTGCTTCTTGGCTCACCCCGTGTTTTAGAGTCAAGGCAACGCTTTATCTCAGCAACTTGCAGTAAAGATTATGTAATATTCTGAGTTAGATACACATTCTTTAGGAATTTAAATTAGCCCAGCAGATACAGAGTACTCACACAGTTGTTGAACAGGAGAGGGAATTATAACACACTGGAGGGAGGGTATTCATAGCACTAAACGGAAACAACAGCTTTAATTTAATGCCACATGGTTGCACCAATGGCTTTATATTACATGCACACACTTCACACCTTCTGTTGAACATACTGGGAAGAAAAAGTGTCTGTATGTTGCTAATTGGCAAACTACTTGAAGTGTTAAAGGAGTAGAATATAGACTTATTTTTAACTATGCTTACTACTGTATATATCTGACTTTTACTGCCTTGCTTGACCCTAATTATTGCAATGCCAAGAATGAGACAGTGTTTCTTCATTTATAAGTCATATTTCAATAAACTCTTTATTTAATTTGGTTAAAATGTTTGCAAATAGTTGTCTAAACCAAAGTAAAATTGTATTTTCTTTACTGATGGATTCAGAGGGGGATTACGGTGAGTGACACTCCTGTTGTGCCCTGTAGTTTGAAATAAAAGCCACACAAGTGCCCCAGTGATGGAAAGGATGTGATGAAGTGCCCTCTAGAGCAGGGGTTCCCAAACTTTTCAGCCCGCGACCCCCAAAATAACAGTGCAAGAGACTGGCGACCCCCTGTTGACGGGGACGGGGCGGGTGATAGTGAATT